TCAAAGGCAAACATTTGATCCAGCAATAACATTTGAGTTTAAGCATTTTTTACGCTAGTATATTAAAATGATATGTATTCTAATAAAACTGACACACAATATTTGGATAATCTTAGTACACAAATGTTAATAGTGCGTATCACCCTAAATGGTTTATAAAAACGAAGTGCATGTTTTAAACACACATTAAATTATCCATTACCTGCAGTAGAGTGTGATCGGAGTTGCCCTTAGAAGGATAACGTTTTAAGACAATTTAATACAGGACTATTCAATAAATCATATAAAAAAAATTAATATAAAACTGAATTTTCAGCAAACAACTTAAATAAAATATATTGCAGTAATATTCTCATGTCGGGTGCATAAGTATCGCTCCCAGCTCCATTTCTTATAATCAGTATTAGAAATTATCCCATATGTCAAACATTATTTCAGATTACAGGCTATTTAAATTATGTTTAAAGCATGACTATTTCATTAATCATTTTAAATCACAGGCCATGTTTTTAACATTTTATTTTTAATGTAATTTACATTAAAGTTACAATTACATTGCAGGAAATAAAACATTATATTTTCAAAATTCCCTTAGGACCCTGAGCTTAAAAGTGCATTTATTCTCCTTATGTTAGCTACTGATGTATGGGATTTGTTTAGCAACCATTCAGCTGAAAAAAAGGATTGTAGTCCTGTATTTTTGGTTTTGTTATGTATGCAAACCATTGCCAGATGTTGCAACATGCGGATGTAAAAACTTAATTAGACTGCAAAAGTGGCTGAATGAGTATTAAAATGGGCATGGGGCATTATTCCCAGAAGACCAAAACAGCTAAGATAGAATCATACCTCACTTGGAGAATCTTTCCTATTTGACTATCGTGACTTAAACATTTGAGTTCCTTTGTGAACTGCTGACAATTTACAGTTTAGGAAAAGCACTGCATATTTAGTATTGCGAGGTCCTGACAGTGTGTAGTCAGGTGCAGTTTGAGTATAAAGATACAGGAGTTTCTGTTGCTTGAAAACCACCAATCTCAATGGGGGTGTTTGAAGTTGTGATGTTAAAGTATGGTGGATAATATTTTACAAATAATTATTTTTATTACATAGTATTATGTGATGAGCCAACAGATCATGCTGTCCTGCATAATGAGATAAAATGCAACTAGATGTCCAAGCCTCTTTTCAATAAGAAGAGGAGCAGGAATTCTGAGGATCTGTTCCAAAGAACTGAAAAGACTAGAAAAGATGTTCATCTTTAAGGCATATAGTCTGTGTTTATAGAGATTTCGGATATTTATTATGTATGTTTGTGCCAATATTAATATGTTAGTTGATTGGTCTCTTAGAATAAAACAGATGTTTTGTGACATCAACCGATGAAGTACTTAGGCCCCTTTACATTGTGGAGAACATGAAGGTCAGTTGCAAGGAACTTTCTAACCCATGGTGGACCCCGTAGAGCTATAACTCTAGTCAATCAGAATAATATCAACACTCCAAAAATGTTTTCTCACAAATATATTGAGTTTTACCCAAGATACTTTAAGTTATGAAGAGAAGTTAACACATGGAAATGTCTTTAATTTAGAAAGATTCACCTCAGATGGGATATGATAACATTATGCAAATCATTGTCTGAAAATATATTAATAAACAGGACTATACATATACACAAGGTCACACATTTAGACTGGAAGAAATGAGATTTAGTCTAAGGCAAAGGAAAGGTTTTTACAGGAAGAACAACATGGTAAATGGAATGCTCTGCCTGAAGAGGTGGTTTTATCAGAGTCTGTACAGAGGTTTAAACAGCAACTGGATAAATACTTGCAAAAACATAATATTCAGGGATATCATTTTTAATTTCTAGGGTGATAGCTTCTTGATCCATAGATAGATCTTATTGCCATTCTGGGGTGAAGAAGGATTTTTCCCTTAGTTTGTTGCAAAATTGGAAGTGCTTCAAACTGTTTTTTTTTTTTGCCTTCTTTTGGATCAACAGCAAAAACAGATGTGAGAAAGGCTGAACTTGATGGATGCAAGTCTATTTTCAGCTATGTAACTATGTAATATTAAAATATACAATGTAAACTGTCAGGATTATGATAGCCATTTGTTAACAACCTAAAATACGCTTTAATAACCTAACAATCAACCAGTTTATGAAAGTCGGCATATTTCAAGTGAAAAATAGAAGGCTACATGGATTTTTTAATGCCATGACCCCAAAAGACAGACCTACTTATAGATAGAACAGACTCTTTTTTTCTATGCATTCTGAACCTGGAAGAAAAACATGTAAAAATAATTGTTCAGAAAATGTAATTGATTGTAGAAAAAAATTAAAAGAAAGAAACATGAATGGAATGCAGCTGGAAGAGAGGTTAACACTAATAAAAAAATAAAATACTTTTTTGAAGAAAAAGATACTGTGGTTTAATATCATAATAAGAAAATTACAAGTATATGCGTATAACCTGTCTGTATATATCAAAACATAAAGGACTATGGAATTAAATGAGTATTTTGTGTGTGTCTAGACAGTACTGCTTTTGGAATGTGGCTGTATCCTTTAGAGAAAAAAAAAGTGTTTGAATGCTTGTTATATCCTTATAGATAAGGAATATAATTATCAGGATTCTTTCATAGGTAGTAACTAACAAACTAGCCAGACAGCCGCTATTCGTCCAGATCTTAATGAAATTGGAAATCGTTACCTTAATAAGACAACATTGATTTCCCATTGAGCTCTCAAATTCTCATCTATTAATATATTTTTTAAGTACACCGTGTTTAAAGGGAACATGTTTTATTAGAATAAACTACTCTGGAATACGTTAATATTTGTGAGCTTACTAAGATCTAGATCAGGTTTCTAATGACCCTTGGAACTTTAGAGTCCCTTGTTTTTCACACATTTTATTACCTGATGCCTCCCCAGATAATATAGACCACCAGCTCACAAAAATCAAAAAAGGGATTGCTCCTTTAAATATTATGACTTTTTTTCCCTTATGGAATATTTAGCAGAAAATAAATGAGCCATTTATTCAGCTTCTGGTTTCTATTGCGAAAGAGCATCTTAGCCTGCAAGCCAGTATAGAGGCTCTGTGAACTATTTTGTTAGCTTTTTCGTGCAACACCCTTCAGCAATTCATTGGTGCTGTGTGAAAGACGAACGTTCAAATCTATCAGTAAACAGCATACAAGAAACTTCTGTTTATCAATGATGACTGTATGATATAAAATGTTTATTCAGAAAAAAATGGTGCTTTTTTCACAGCCAAGCAATGTTTGAATCAACAGAAATGCTAATGGATGGAGGGTTTTACTGCACACTCACACAGGAATCTCTGAATTGCTGTTACAGTGGCTCTACAGTGCTACCCCGAATGAGTGACTTGGGTTGCTCATGGCATCACCTCTGATGAAAAAAAACTTGTATTTTACATTGGATTCACTTTACAATCAAAGTGCACTTTGAGGTGAGGAGATTCCTGCAGCATTTCTCGATAGAGACCATCTGTTTATAGATAATTTTTTCCTGGCTCCAGGCTCTAAGCTTTAAATACTCCTCTGTCTGTGCTTGCTATCTAAACCTCTAAACCATAAAGCTCCTTTGAGTTTCAGAACAGGTTTCTACCTTCTACTTTAACAAACAGACATGCACCTTGGAAAATGCTTCTGTTGACCCAAATAACCTGGGGTTTAATTCTAAACCTGCCAGACT